GTGACTGTTTGAGGTTGTGGACAGGTGTCTTTTATACTGATAACAAGTTCAAACAGGTGCCATTAATACAGGTAACGAGTGGAGGACAGAGGAGCCTCTTAAAGAAGAAGTTACAGGTCTGTGAGAGCCAGAAATCTTGCTTGTTTGTAGGTGACCAAATACTTATTTTCCACCATAATTTGCAAATAAATTCATAAAAAATCCTACAATGTGATTTTCTGGATTTTTTTTCTCTCAATTTGTCTGTCATAGTTGACATGTACCTATGATGAAAATTACAGGCCGCTCTCATCTTTTTAAGTGGGAGAACTTGCACAATTGGTGGCTGACTAAATACTTTTTCCCCCCACTGTATCTAAGCATACCTCTTGAGCTGTCTGTATCCTCCTGACTGGTGGTTCTTTTTTTAAAGAAACAAAATATGCTTCTCTGCATCTCTGCTAAAATCTGAATAAAAGATTGAAAGGAATGTGTCTTATTCAGTACATTTAGTAATTGCTTGCGTAATTAATTGCAGGCATGCCAGCTAAGATAGTTAGACAAGCTACTCTAACTTGATTGATAGCCTGAAATGGCTTTGTACACTCTTAGAAAAAAGGGCTCCAAAAGGGTTCTTTGCGGAGGGATAGGGTTCTACCAAGAACTGTTTTGATGAGAAGAACCCTTTTCGGAAGACAGTGGTTCTTTGTAAGGCAAATGGTTCTACCTAGAACCTTAAACATCTTGGAAGAAAGTTTTATTTTATGGTTCTTTGGAAGGCAAGAAGGATTCTTTGGAAGGCAAGAAGGGTTCTACATAGAACCATATATAATATTTCCCAGCATGCTCTATTGCAGGGAGATTTTCAAAATTGTTTGTTTTACTGTAATAATAAAAACTATGTTTTTGCGTGTACATTGCTTAGTTGATTAATTTTATGCTACACAAAGATAAATATCATTCAGTTTTCTAAACAAATCCAATCTGTTAGTAATTGGATTTATTGTACCAGTTACTAAGATGGTTGTTCCAGTTCAGATTATTGAGGTAGTCTCTGTATTCAGTCTTCCTTACCCTGGTGGTCATTCTGAATGCATGTTGTAGGTGATTAAAATGTCCACTTGTTGGATATCCTAACTCTGGCTGGATTCCAATAGGAATTACACATCACTTTGCAAGCTAGCATAATTTGACTTGCAGGCCTGATGTAGCCTGTAAACAAGGAGATGTCTAACACCGCTGTGTTAGGGTATAATTAAGCCTTCAAATAAAGGCCTTATGATTTACGTAATGCATTGTCATATAATTTTAAAGGCTAATAAGGCTGATGGAACCTTTCATAGAGGGTTCTAGGAAGAACCCTCCAAAAATTAAAGGGTTCTCGGTAGAACCCTTCATAGAGGGTTCTAGGCAGAACCCTATATAGGGGGTTCTTTGAAGAACCCTATATAGGGGGTTCTTTGAAGAACCCTACATAGAGGGTTCTAGATGGAACCCTCTGCAAAGGTTTCTGCCCAGCACCAAAAAGGGTCCCCTATGGGGAAAAAACAAAGAACACTGTATGGTTCTACACCTTTTTTTGTGTAGCTAGTTATGAGGTTGGGAGATTGGAAACCTATCTAACTGGCTAGTTAAAGCCAACTTCATAAAATTGCTAGGTGGCTAGTATTACAGAGAAACAACAAAACATTATGTTTTATTTATTCATCAATAAGGAATCAATTGGCTATATACACCACAAAAGTATGTGGACACCTGCTTGTCGAACATCTCATTCCAAAATCATGGGCATTAATATGGAGTTTGTCCCACCTTTGCTGCTATAACAGCCTCCACTCTTCTGGGAAGGCTTTCTTTGACGAACTAACTTGTTGGAAAGGTGGCATGCTATGACGGTGCCACGTTGAAAGTCACTGAGCTCTTCAGTAAGATAATTCTACTGCCAGTGTTTGTCTATGGAGATTGCATGGCTGTGTGCTCGATGTTAAACACTTGTCAACAACGGGTGTGGCTGAAATAGCCAAATCCACTAATTAGAAGGGGTGTCAACATACTTTTGTATATATAGTGTAGCTTGATTAAATTAATTTACAAAACATACCTCCTGCGAGTCCTGTCCATCAACGGCAGCTAAAATCAAATCAAATGCTGGGGGGGGGCGTACTCCTTGCCTGGTCCAGTCAGTGTGCCCTCTCCGCAAAATACCACTGACAGATATTTTTATAAATAATTATCAAATAAAATGTTATTTGTCACATGCTTTGTAAACAGGTGTGGAATAACGGTGAAATGCTTTAATGCTTCCCAACAATGTGGAGAGAAAGACAATAGAGAAATAATATAAAAGTAAAACACGTAATAATAGATACACAATGAGTAACGATAACAGTAGTAGCAGCATGTGTGATGAGTCAAAAAAACAGTTTGTGCAAAAAGGGTCAATGCAGATAGTCCGGGTAGCTATTTGATTAACTATTTAACTAACTACTGTATTTAGCGGACTTGCGGCTTTGGGATAGCCTATGTTCAGGGTCCTGTTGGTTCCAGACTTGGTGCATCGGTACCGCTTGCCGTGTGGTAGCAGAGAGAACAGCCTATGACTTGGGTGGCTGGAGTCTTTGACAATTTTTAGGGCCTTCCTCTGACACCGCCTGGTATAGATGTCCTGGATGGCATAGACATCGGTCCCATTGATGTACTGGGCCATCCTCATTACCCTCTGTAGCGCCTTGTGGTCGGATGTCAAGCAGTTGCCATACCAAGCTGTGATGCAACCAGTCAAGATGCTCTCAATGGTGCAGCTGTATAACCTTTTGAGGATCTGAGGGAACAGTTTCCATTTTTGTGGCCTCTTCACGACTGTGTTGGTGTGTTTGAACCATGATAGATCCTTAGTGCTGTGGATACCGAGGAACTTGAAGCTCTCGACCAGCTTCACTATAGCCTCGTCGATGTGAATGGGGGCGTGCTCTGCCTTCCATTTCCTGTAGTCCATGATCAGCTCCTTTGTCTTGTTGACGTTGAGGTCTCTGACCTCCTCCCTATAGGCTGTCTCATCGTCGTCGGTGATCAGGCCTACCATTGTTGTGTCGTTGGCAAACTTAATGATGATGTTGGAGTCGTGCACGGCCACACAGTCATTGGTGAACAGGGAGTACAGGAGGGGACTAAGCCCTGAGGGGCGCCTGTGTTGATGGTTAGCGTGGCGGACGTGTTGTTGCCTACCCCCACCTCCTGGGACGGCCTGTCAGGAAATCCAAGATCCAGTTGCAGAGGGAGGTGTTCAGTCCCAGGGTCCTTAGCTTAGTGATGAGCTTGGAGGGCACTATGGTATTGAACTCTAAGCTGTAGTGAATGAACAGCATTTTCACATAGGTATTCCTTTTGTCCCAGTGGGAAAGGGTAGCGTGGAGTGCAATAGGGAGCCTCTGACTATATTAGGAATAGGGTGTCGTTTGGGATGTATCCTAGCTCTCACAGAGCAGTTGGATCTCATATTGCAACTGGACATGGGGATGTGGCCACTTAGAGAAGCACCAGACATAGACTGCTACATAATGCTGGTGTTTACACAAGTCTGTGTCGAGTTTGTTAAGCTAAATGTTAGTTTATTGTACTTAGATATAAGCATAGCCACGGGAAGTAGGGGTGCTGAGGGTGCTGCAGCACCCCCTGAAAAATCTAAATCAACAAAGAAAATAAAACATTTATTTAAAAATAATAATAATTCACAAAAGTAGTTCACTGGGCCTTTACTAGTCCTGTATTAGCGGACCAATATAGTCGTCTGCACCCCCACAGCACCCCCACCTCCAAACATCTTCCTGTGGCTATGGATATAAGCAGATATTTTACATGTCAAATGTTGGTTTATGAGGAGTTATGCTAGTGGATATAGGTTTATGTGGCAATGTGTTTTGCTTTATTGACATAATTCAGTATCTGGTACAACAGATAACACATTTTCCCTCCATCCTCTTCAGCTAAAGCTGTTTTTATTCTCAATGATTAAGAGATAGGAGGGTAAAACCTACAAAATGTTTCTTCAAAAGATCCGTTCGGAGGGCCACACTGAAAATGTGTTATGTTTCCTCGGCATCAACATACACATTTTTAAAAATCCTCTATCGATGCTCCCTGACTGTCTAGCTTTCATTTTGGTGATTATTCTCACATAGGTATTCCTTTTGTCCCAGTGGGAAAGGGCAGTTTGGAGTGCAAAAGAGATTGCGTCATCTGTAGATCTGTTGGGGCGGTATGCGAATTGGAGTGGGTCCAGGGTGTCTGGGATGATGGTGTTGATGTGAGCCATGACCAGCCCTTCAAAGCATTTCTTTGCTACAGATGTGATAGTCATTCAGACAGGTTACCTTGGCGTTCTTGGGCACAGGGACTATGGTGGTCTGCTTAAAACATGTAGGTATTACAGACGGTCAGGGATAGGCTGAAAATGTCAGTGAAGACAAGATGAGACACATTGACTTAAAAAGAGACAGTCAATAAATTGTATTAATGTAGGTCCATTATAATTTCTACACAGTTTCAATTTGGTTTTAGTAATTTTTGTATATTGAGTTTGTTTTCCGCCAAAATGTATTTTCTTCCAAAAATGTAATATATATACAGTATATATATAATATTCAACTGTTTTACTCAAAACACCCGCGGGCCAGATTGGACCTCCTCCTGTTTGACACACCTGGCATTGGCATTGCTAAGTTGTCCCTACATTGTAACCTGAGAAGAAAATAGACTATATGATTTGTTTTACTGAGAAAATCGATTCCATAGCTTTTTTCTCATCCCTAAAAAGCTGCAGTAGCTCCTCTTGCCAAATAAGCACTTACTGCAAGTGATAAGTGATGTAAAACCATAGCCAACATTATAAAATAAATATTTCATAAATCTAAATCAAGTTTATTTGCACCAATTTACTCACTCTATTGCCTTGGCCTTGTGTTAAGAGAGATTTATGCTAGTTTGTAAATTAATCCAAACATGTGAAGGCATAGCAATTCACCATGTTCAACCAGCACAGTTAATTCTTATGGATATTCCGGAATAAAACAAAGAAACGGTGGCTATGGACTTAGCCCCAACCAATTAATAATTTGCATTAATCAATCAATCAACCAATCAGCTTCACAATTTGGGGTTGTCATTAAGGGTCCAGCCAATCAGAGTGGTTGTGTGTTCCATGTACCGTACAATCATAGTAACACGACTCAGGATAAGACCCAGATCCAGACACAGGAGGCAAACCATTTGAATCTCAGATGTTTATTACAAGACAGGGGGCAGACAGCAGGTCAAGGGCAGGCAGAGGTCCATAGTCCAAGGCAGCGTGAATAAGGGACAGAACGGCAGTCAGGGTCAGGGCAGGCAGAATGGTCAGAACCAGGAGGACTAGAAATCAGAAACTAGAGCGACTGGAAAACGGGAAACCACGCTGCTAAGACTTGGCAAGACAAGACTAACTGGCAACAGACAAACAGAAAACGCAGGTATAAATACACAGGGAATAATGGGGAAAATGGGAGCCACCTGGTGGGGGGTGGAGACAAGCACAAGACAGGTGAAACAGATCAGGGTGTGACACAGAGTGGTTATGTGTTGTACAGGTCATCCAGACCATCAGTGCTGTGGACAAGGACGAGCCTCCCAGTGGTCATCGCTTTTACTTTGCCTTGGCTGCATCTGTGGCTGGCAACTCCAACTTCACTCTCAGAGACAACAAAGGTAGGTGTTTTCTCCTCGTCAAAGTACACCAATTAACTCACAACAGAGAAGAATGTGAGGAAAATTTTAAATCAAAAGGGATTAGAGTGTAAGGTCTGTAAATCCAGGGTCAACCATGGCCATAACAGTACTGCAAGTATGGATTGAGAAGTTTTTCTTGTTTTCTTCACATTTCAAGACCTTTTCGATTGATAGTACATTCAAGTCATTTAGCAGACGCTCTTATCCAGAGCGACTTACAGTTTGTCAGTGCATACATTACTTTTTTAATTTTTCATACTGGCCCCCTGTGGGAATCCAGCCCACCTACCAACTGAGCTACATCCCTGCCAGCCATTCCCTCCCCTACCCTGGGCCAATTGTGCACCACCCCATGGGTCTTCCGGTCACGGCCAGCTACGACAGAGCCTGGATTTGAACCAGGATCTCTAGTGGCACAGCTAGCACTGCGATGCAGTGCCTTAGACCACTGCGCCACTCAGGAGATAGTAGTTGCTGAAACAAACTTTCTGAGAATGATTCTGATGGCTTATTCATGTTTGTTTCACCTTTAAATCCATTTTATGGATAGGAATATCCATGAATGTTAATGCAGGTTTAGAAGTGTGGAGGCAAAAACAGGTTTTGAAATGTCATGACCCAATTTGAAAGTATAATTTAATCTTTAATGGTTTCATGCCCATTTGCACAAAATATTTTCCTCCTCTGTAAATATTGTCTGGACTTCTATTCCTCACTTGTTATGATTCATATTTCATTGCTGGTCAACTAAATTTGTAAATCAAACCAACAATGTAATTTCTCAACAGGTGGCATAGAAGAGAATGGAATATCTTTGATATCTTACTTATATTAATTATTGGCTCCATCTGTTGATTTTCTTGTATTCTCTTTGTGAATGAAAAGAGAACATAATGGCACATAAAACAAACTACAAAACTAGTCGCTGTAGCTGGTGCTGTACCATATGTATTCATGCAAATGACCAATTGACAACGTCATCTGTGAGATACAGCATTTCATATATACTGAACAAAAATATGCAACAATTTCAAAGACTTTACTGTTCATAGAAGGAAATCAGTCAATTGAAATAAATTCATTAGGCCCTAATCTATGAATTTCACATGACTGGGCAGGGGCGCAGCCATGGGTGGGCCTGGGTAGCTAGGCCCCACGATCCTGCAGGTGTTTCGAGAAAGGTGCATGATAATGGTCCATTCTAAATCAAAACAAAATTCACACATATATTATTTAGTATATGTAAAGACAAGATTAAATCAAGAATAGTGTGATGGGTGACAATATTAGCCTATCACTTGTGAATGATATATTATCACTTGTGAATGATGCCCAGCTGTTGCCATGCTTTTTTTTTTGTGACATTTTCCAAATCATAGTCACACACCTCATGTAGCCTAGCCCATAGGCCTATATGTTTTGATAAGGTTTATATCACAACTAAAGTAGCCAAATAACTTACACATACATGTGTTTAGCAGATGCTATTGCGGGTGTAGCGAAATGCTTGTGCTTCTAGCTCCGACAGTGCAGTAATATCTAACAAGTAATATCTAACAATTTCACAACATATACCCAATACACACAAATCTAAGTAAGGAATGGAATTAAGAATATATACATGGACGAGCAATGACAGAGCGGCATGGACTAAGATACAGTAGAATAGTATAGAATACAGTATATACATATGAGATGAGTAATGCAAGATATGTAAATATTATTAAAGTGACTAATGTTCAATTTCTTAAAGTGGCCAGTGATTTCTAGTCTATGTCTATAGGCAGCAGCCTCTAATGTGCTAGTGATGGCTATTTAACAGTCTGATGGCCTTCAGATAGAAGCTGTTTTTCAGTCTCTCGGTCCCAGCTTTGATGCACCTGTACTGACCTCGCCTTCTGGATGATAGCAGAGTGAACAGGCAGTGGCTCGGGTGGTTGATGTCCTTGATGATCTATGTAATGATCATGCTGTTCAATCAGCTTCTTGATATGTCACACCTGTCAGATGGATGGATTATCTTGGCAAAGGAGAAATGCTCACTAACAGGGATGTAAACAAATTTGTGCACAACATTTGAGAGAAATAAGCTTTTTGTGCGTATGGAAACTTTCTGGTATCTTTTATTTCAGCTCGTGAAACGGGACCAACACTTTACATGTTGTGTTCACATTTTTGTTCAGTGTATATAGTAACAGTATACACTGATTGTTATACCACAGTTAATGAAATACTGTATGTAGATTATATAAATCATTCAGTCTGTATGCTGTCCTAATATAGACAATGTACTATATCAGCTTGTATCAGGACTGTGCAGGATTTGATCTCATACTCTTCCCCTTCTTCCTTCTTCCTGACTGATCTGGTTCATCATGCTCCTCCCTTCCAGACAACACAGCGTCCATCGTAACGAAACGTGGAGGGTTCCGGAGACGGGAGCAGGTGCTGTACCAACTGCCTGTGTTGATCGTAGACAGTGGAAGCCCCGCACTCAGTAGCACCAACACCCTATCAGTGAGCGTGTGTGACTGTGACTCGGACGGCGTAGCCCAATCGTGTGGGGTCGTGGCGTACACACTTCCTGCCGGCCTCAGTACAGGGGCCCTTGTCGCCATTCTGGGCTGCATCATTACACTCCTGGGTAAGAACAACCATAATGTCAACTACTGGAGACAGTGTGCATGTTTGAGATACACAGATTCTTCACAGGTCTACATAGGTCAACATATCTTCACCATGCCTGGAGCAATGTTTAACCTATCAATTTGCTATGCAATCCTATATTCTGTGCAAACCTGCACATATGCACATTCTTATGTTGTCTTCAGTTCTTGAATGATCATAAAAATAAAAATAAAGAACTTACTAATGTGATTGTACATTTTGTGTGTAGATATGGTAATGTCTTTGTGGGTATAGGGGCAGGATATGGGTATAGGATTCTCAATTTTGGGCTGGTTTTGACTGTACCTGGGTTTTTGATGTGTGTCTCTCATGATGATAACACTAGTCACATTTGCTATGAGCGTTTGTTATTAATGATTCCACTTAGATTTAATTAACTTAGCAACAAAGAAAATGCAGCAGCGAACCCTCACAAATGATTGCCCATGAAGTCCAGAGACAGGGTTTTTATACCACATCAGAGCACAGTCAGAAGAATACTTTAATGCGCTGGCAAACTTAATTAAACGCTGAAATGGAGTCTAAATAGGATATACAATAACAAACATTTTGGTTTTTTGATAGGGTCAGCCAAAACTCACTTTCATTTAAATTCGCAAAAATGTGCTTAATTTGTATTGCTAAGGAGAATACTTTTTGTAATGAATGAGAGATTGAAAAGAGCAACACGGGAAAGACGTAGTGACGGGGCTCTGAACCCAGCATTGCTAATGAAAAGACTCCATGGCCCCAGGCCTCAGGCTTAGAATGAATGGCCTCCAGTCCAAGCCTGTTTCTGTGTCTGTGTGTGTGTCTGCGTGCATGCGCTGTCCGTGGGCTCACGTGTCCTTGTCTGTGCTGCTTAACTTAGTCTCCTTCTACTCCATTCTCTCTATCATCCACTTCTCCTTCTCTTCTATCCCATTCCCCTTCTCCCTGTTCGACCCTCCTCCAACCCCCCCCCCCCCCCCCTTGCATTAACACCCTGTGCACAACCCTTCCCGTCCTGGCTCCCAGATCTTGTGTGCCTCCATCAAGGCCTATTTCAATCTGCGCTGCTGTAATTGGGGATGTGATTGCGTGTGATTGCATTGTTTTGGTTGAGAGGAGAGCTCAGAAAAAGACCAGAGGTGCTGCTGCTGTCATCCTCAGGTGCTGTCAGCACAGGTGTCCTCCAGCCGTAGTAGAGCAGAACAGACTTCACAATCTCTCTTTCTCTCGCTCTTCTCTCTCTCATCAAAGAAAAGTAGGGACTCCATCCCCACACCAACAACTTCTATTCATCTTTCATCACTGAGTAGAGTAGCTATAATGACGGGTGGCTAAGATCGCATGTGAAAATTGAACAGCAACTCCTTGAGATGTACCAACCTGTTTTCTTTGTTGATTGATAAGAGCCCTCTTCACAATGTCCATGAGTTTCAACCACTCACCAGCTCACTTACCTACCATATGGTTATGTGTGACTATTGTGTGTGTGGTTGTGGGTGGCTATGTACTGTTTTTCTATTAAACTGGACTGTCATTAATTTTAGGTCCGTATGACATTTAAGTAACACATCTGCTGTTATCATTTAGAAGACATGTCCTCTATGTCTTCCACTAAGTTGTACAGCCTCAAAATATTATATATTTCTTCCCACATATTTTTAGCCTTAATCTAAATCCTTTTTGGAGATGAATGTCCCCATGGTCATAGTCACATTGACACTGCAAAAGAAAGTTGGCAAGTCATTATTTGAAACGATTTAGCAACTTTTTATTTTTTGCGGTGCGGGTCAGGTGATGCGTACTGTCAGACACGACCAATTATGGCTTTTAAGTAGCACCCCCTCAGCGCCAGACGTCTGTTGCCATGACTATTGTCACTCAAACCGAATGATTGTCTCACTACCCTGGCCACTCTGTCTGAATTTGCCTGAATATGAAAAAGTAGAGGACCACAGTCCCAGCTACTCGTGTATATATGACTTACTGATTGATTTAGTGATGATTAACACAACTACTGTTGTGTTAACAGTAGTTGAGTATAGGCAATACACCAAATGTATAATTTTATTGACATAAATATTGTCTCCATAAGACATATTGTCCTCATAATGATGTGTCCATTAGTCCTTTTGTCATCAGAATGTAGTTGTCTTTATAATTATGCAGAAATATGGGAGGTTTGTGGTTTGTAAGTGACACAGGCAGTGAATAATCAGCCTGAGGTTTTGACAGAGCTAAGCAAGCTAGAGGAGAGGCAGAGTGGTGATGATGAGGAGGGGGCGTTTTGCTTCAGTTCATTATAACGATGTACACTACCAAGGAGAGCCAGGGCAGCACAGAAAACTCTGCTTGCACAGTATTGATTGTGCTTGATGGATCTTTTAAACAATTGAATTACAGCAAATCCAGGTTGTTTTTGATTTGCCATCTGCATCTATACAGTGTAGATCCACTATAAAGAGGGTATTTATTTATATGAAGGCTGGCTGAATAATGTCCAGTGTGGTGGTCATTGTATTGAAGCCACTTGATGACTGTCACAGTGGGTTCTTTTGTATGCTCAGCCATCTTCCTACAGCCACTCGTAAGGCATGATTGGCTCCTGGCCAACACCCAGTATGTGATGATGACGCACAGCATAGCGTCTTCTAGGTATTCAACCCTAAAAGCTTTGCTGGAAAGCAATGAAGATATTCTCTTTCAATGTGCCGCCATATCATGATTAATCTGGAAAAGCATTACCGAAATGAATGGAATCTGGAGAGCTTTAAGCAACTATACAATCAGAGGCAAACCAATATACTATTCACCTCGTAGATTCCAAGGGATGTGTCATCTTTCAACATAGAATTTCACAAAAGCTATACAATTACACGCATAGAAAATTATATCAACATTCCAAATCATGGCCAGCGGTAGTAGCAGTAGTGAGGGCAACAGACCAGTGGTATTGACAGATTAAACCATGGTTGAGTAGTAACACACTGTAGCTATTAGAGCCATGCATTCAGAAAGCCAGTCACCAAACAGCAGTCAGAAGGCTCTCCATTCATCAGCGTCTCCCCGAGCCATTTATGTAACAGCCCCACCCCTTCCATCTTCTCCATTTGCTCTCTTATTACGAGGTGTGAAGCGGTGTTTGCCTTCGCTTTCCCAGGCCCTTCTCTCTAGCCTGCGGAAGCCAGACGCAGCAAAGGGAAGAAATATGGTCCCACAGTGCGATATTTCACTGGCACCAGTGCGACATTGATGGATGAAGGATCATTAGACATTTGCCAGTTTGCTTCGGTGTGGAGAGTTATTTTCAGCAATAATATATGGGACCAGGGATTGGAGAGGGGCGCCTGGAAGTTCAGAAATTCCGGTTACGGGAAGTTTTCTGTCATTTTGGAAGTGGTGCGCAAAATGGAGGATGTAGGAGAGAAATGTATTGATGCAAGGACATATTCATCTGAACTGTTTCAACATTTTAATTTCACATTCATCAAATATGGGCTATTATTTTACGTAGATGTATCATCCAAATGTACTGTGCCTTTATATTGAATAACAATAGGTCATTGCAAGTATGCTAATGCTGATGGTGAATAAACATTGACCCAGACTCTTCTCTTCCCTTGTTCAGTGATGGTGCTGCTGATTGTGTCGATGCGTCGGAGGAAAAAGGAGCCCTTGATCCTGGAGGAGGAGAGGGACGTGAGGGAGAACATCGTCCGCTACGACGACGAAGGTGGAGGAGAGGAGGACACGGAGGCCTTCGACATGGTGGCCCTCCGCAACCTCAACGTCATCAGAGACCCCAAGGTCCGGCGAGACGTCACCCCTGACACCCCCACCTTCTTCCCCTACCCGACATCCTCCTCCTCGCTTCCCGTCTACAAGACCCTGCCGGACAACGTGGTGTTCCGAGAGTTCATTTGGGACCGGCTAAAGGACGCAGATGTTGATCCGTCAGCTCCGCCATATGACTCTTTGCAGACATATGCCTTCGAGGGGAATGGTTCGGTAGCTGAGTCGTTAAGCTCCCTGGAGTCACTAAGTACAGACTCAGAGCAGAACTACGACTATCTCAGCAACTGGGGGCCGCGTTTCAAAAAGCTAGCCGACCTGTACGGCGACGGCAACAACGTGTTCTCATAGCCAACATTTTCCTGAACAAAAATCAACAATAGTAATGTATTGTGATAAAAAAATTAAAATAACAACTAATCTGCCAAAGTCAAGGGTGTGAGAGTCTGAGAGAACAAAAGTGAGAAAGGAAAAACATCTTGACTTAAAAGGTTTGGTTTGTTTACTTGCCTTGGATTTTGGATTTTCAAAAAGGGTGACTTGGCAAGTTTTGACTGAAAAGGAAACCTTGTGAGCAAAAACATTAAAAGGTTTCAAAGTTGGGCTGGGGTCCAGCAATCGACTGTGTATGTGGTAGGCTACAGTATATTTATGTGGAGGCACCTGTTCTCTCATTCCTGTGATGGGCACAGACCCAGCAGTCTTGTTTTGATGCATTCCCTTGCTCTTTTTGTAAAAATAAAATAAATTTAAAAAAAGACACTTTCTGCTAAAGTGCTCGGTCCCCGGCGGCTAATCAGTAGAGTAGTCACTCAACTATTCATTTGAAAGTCCTCAAGAGTGTCAATGTTTTTGTTTGGTGTTTTTCAGATTACGGAGGAAACTCTTATTAAGTCACAGACTCGCGGAGAAAAAACAAACCAAGAGAAATCAGTCAGTCATATCTTTCAGTGCTATATGTGACAAGTAGTGTACAGATTGGTTGAAGAGGAACCACTACTGTTAAATTCTTGCGAGAGGTTTGAAATCTGACCTCGTGTCTACAAGAAATTGTGTGTACTGTGGTCTGAGAAAAATAATGCAACTGATCTGTGTGTATCCTTCGATTGGTGCAGGAAAGTGTTTACCTTCTCCTCTTAACATAGCATTTTACAGCTGTTACATTGTGGTGTTTGCCTTTGAGTCTATTTTCCTTAGGCCTGACTCTTTCTATTGCCAAGTCCAATTTTATGTAATACTGATGTAATAACAATGATGTAACATTATGGTTGAGATGGAAAATCCATATCTGGATTGAACCTTCAAATAAAGTATTTTCCATTATTTGCAAAGGAATTTGGAATTCACGGTCCACTCTTGCCCAAGGAATTTAGTTGACGTTGTGTTGGACCGTGCAATATACTTGCAACTTAGACTTGAGTAAAGTGAAGGCTTGTTTGAATGGATTTTTGTCCACGCTATAGACGGCTATATCGGTCCGCTAATACAGGACTAGTAAAGGCCCAGTGCACTCATTTACTTTTTATCTATAAATATCTATTTTTTATTCCGATTTTTCAGAGGGTGCTGCAGCACCCTCAGCACCCTACTTCCTGCGGCTATGGTTACATAACAACAACAACAAATATTTCACAGTAACTGCAGTAAATCCGCTTGTCACAAAATGATTCTGCAGAATGAAATCAAGTCCGCCCATGGCAGACATTTTGTTCATTGATGATAAAGGACACACTGTATGGCAGGAATACGGGAGGCAAAGGAAGCATTTTCTTTCAAACAAAATGCCTTTTGAACTGTTCCCATTGGAAGTCAACAAGTTAATCAAAAAAGTATTCATATTTATTTTGAAGAAGCAGAACTATGTGATGGTGGCAGATGTTTTTATCCTTTTTGCTGACAATAAAAAGGACATTCAGTTCCTCAAAAGACTGAGGGGACGTCTTTCAGTTCTTTTGAACATCAAATCTATGATATGTCAGTGTTTCATTATATTATCAAGGTGAACCACATATGCTTTGAGAGAAATAAATGATGGGCTGTTTGAGGAGATGGAGATGCAGAGCTGCATTTTTGCCTGGCATGAATATCAGCAGGCATCACACACACACACACACACACACACACACACACACACACATTTTCTTTGCTTTTGCACAACTCTGGGATCCAGATGGGGGGGATAGAGAGGGAGGAGGAGAACGAGGGATACAGAGGGAGGAGGAGAGAGAGAGTTTTCAAAATTTTTCACGTCTCCTCTCGATGAGGCTTTGTACTTGAAAGGCCCGTCGGAGACAAAGCGGCAGACTTGATGCTTTGCAGAGGCGTGTGTGATGAATGGCTCGCACACTGTCGACCCTCTTAAAGAGCCTTTTGCAAATTAGCCAGGCGCTCCTCCTGTGGTGGGATCAGCCTCTTATCTGTGTGTGCAAATAGTTCTGGGCAGTCGCATTCACACACATTTTTGCAGGCCCTATGATGTGTGTGTGTGTGTACTCTGTGTGTGTTTGTGTCTGTGTTGAGCGAGAAAGAGAGAGAGACCAGGGGGTTGTATATTGCTCAGTCATTAGTTATAAAGGCATTACCTACAGTGCTTACCACGATTTCCCTTTTAAAGTAATTATTTATCAAACCATAAAGATATAGGTTTGACATAATCAGTAATGCAATTTCTTTATTAACTTATAAGGAGGAATTCATCCAATTTACTTGCAGTAAAGATAATGGAGATTTTACTGGATTTTCTGATCATAAACTACTGAATATGAGATGTCATATCTGGTTGAATGATTGAATGTTATCTTCAACTCCAGTGTCAACCTTACCTTGGCCTCTGGAACCTTCCCTTTAATCAACTAAATATGGAACAGAGAGCTTTATAAGCCAGCTCTATAGTGAGAAATAGCTGCACTCAAATGCCCAGCGCCCCAAACCCATCTATTTACAATGAATAGTTAATCAGACCAGAACCTTAACAGAAAGTCTTAGGGAATTAAAGGCAATGTTCCTGTGGTCGCGAAGACTGCATTCACGGAAAATGCTGTATATGTAGGCTCAATCTTAAATTTCCTTTAAATTTCTAGCACACAATCTGTAATGCTTCAGCCCTTAATAAGATTTTGTTGTTGTTTTTAATCATCGTTATTACCGAATTTCGGTAATTGACGATGATTTGACACAGGAATAATTTTGCGCATGAATAGCTCACTGCATGGTTTCCTCTGTATTGATAACGTTTTGTGATGCAATATGGAGAAGAGGCAGCTTCTCGGGCTCTTTCTCGACAGTTCGCCGAGGTGCATGAATAAAATTGACAGTACCGTAATTCACTGTGATGCAACAGCATGCAATGAGGTTGTTATGCATCTTCACTTGGGCCGGTAAATATGCTCAGTCTCCTTACAGGTATTGACATAGTTTCTGAAGCTTTGAAGAAAAGCAAAGGGTTGAACATCTGAGGAATATGAACCATGAGCCATGAAAAGCGAAGATAAGCATGTGTATTCCTTTTGGTGCTGCTACTGACAGTACTTTGTCGTATTGGCCACTCAAGAGTTGTAATGCGAAGAGCCACTGATTGGTGAACTTTTTTTCACAATCCAATTAACTAATTTAGAAAGATTTGTTCAAAGACTGTACCCAACTGTTTGAGTTATAAGCAGTCAAATCTGCCCTTGAATATGTGTTTTACAGTACCATACCATTTGACAGACAATAAATCCTTTCAGAAATGTGTAATTTACATAAAAGTGCTACTCCATCACTCCAACATACATATTCTTGTTGATCTAAAGATTATGTTTGGATTCTTATTACTAGATGCTTGAACTCATTGACTGAGGCAGACTCATAGTCTATTCCAAACACTCACCACATACCAAACACCACTCACACGCAGTACCATCCTGACACCCAGCCCATTTGCATGTGGAAACAGGGATGATTAATTGTCATGTCACATACGTTCATAATCAGGCTGTCTTTCGTCTTCCTCAAACCCCCCTCTCATAGTCTCACAATGAAAAATTAATTATATTTGAGTGTCATACTGTACTGTAGATCCGTCACTTGGTAATCCATCCACACCCATTATATTTCTCATAATCCTGCCATTGTAATAAAACCTTACTCTTGGACATTCATACTTACTAATGATACTAGTATCCTTATGTTTTTTGACAGAGATGGTATTGAGTTTCTACAGTAGTTTCAAATAGCATCCTTTAATGCAGTGTTAATGGTTGATAATGACCAGACTGCACCTGTCAATCAAAATCAGGAAAAAGTGTCTCCAGAGACCAGAGCCTGGGGGCACTGAAGAGCATTCAGGGACACGCTGTTATCAGGGACTCAATCTGTACCGCGGCAGATTACACCCTGCTGGTCCCTGAGGCTTGGTGGTTTGGTGGGGTATCTTCAGGCCCTTGACGTTCCATGTTATCATAACCCTTTATCACCAACAAATTGCTTTGATGAGGAGTGGGCAATATTTAGACAAGGGAGGGTATTATTTCCATTGGAACACTGCTCCATTGGAACACTACTAATGGAGTCTAACCTCTTGACTGCCTGCAGTTGCAATCATTTTCTGTAATGGTAAAACAGGTTTCTCAGTATAACATTATAATGCTCTATGGGGTTGTGTATGCTCTATATTTTCACCTTAACATTTCTCCAATAATACAGTATGTTTCCCAAATCCTCAGAGACTGCTGTTTCTGGCTGGCTCTTGAACCACGGTAAGATGGTTTGGCAGAAAGAAGGACACAGAGTTGGATATTCCTTGGTGTCACTCTTGGTGAGTTTTAATTTATTCAGCATGTGCTGGAATGAAAATCAGAGAACAAACAAACAATCAACAAAATGCCATAATGCATAAATGTAATTATCATAAAGATATTTTCACATGATTCAATAATGGCAAATATAACAATCAGAATTCATCTTAGGAATTTCAACATCTCAATTTATCTTAAAGGGGCAGTGCAGTTAAAAACGTGAATTTCCTGTTTGTTTTATGAGATGTCCACACTATGAGGTTGAAAATGATGATAATGCCCTTTTTGTGTAAGAGCTCTTTGAAAAAAATGCCTGGAATTTCAGCCTATTCAGGTGGGATGGAACTTTTGGCCCACATCATGACATCACAACTTGATTTGATTATATAACAAATCAATGACTGTTCATCTCGGAAAGTGGGTGGGCTCTAGACCATCCTATCAGCCAATATCTTCCAATTTGTTTCCTAATCCCCAAACGATCAGACTGAGCATTTCAAGGGCCAAAAGAGCCTAAGGAAAATCCCAAAAATATTTTTGGGAGTTAAAATTACAAAGACTGCAGGGGGGCTTTAA